TGTAGGCTGTGTGATTGCACAAATGCATGTGTGGGCAATGATAAGAAGCACCCTTACACTATCTTTGGTTCAAGGAATTTGGAAGGAAAAGAAAAGAAAATGATTTTCTCTCAATTTTCACACTTTTCCTTTCTTTTCCTATCTAACCAAACAAGAAAACCTATTTTCCACTTTATTTTCTTTTCTTTTCCTTTCAAATTCTATGAACCAAACATAGTGTTACTGGAAGTACGTGAAAAACATTGTTACCGGTGTGCTCACTAAAGAAAATCAATAGTCAAGATGAATACCGGTGTGCAATTTCCATCACAACTCCTCGGATGTACTTGATTGATTATATTCACATTGTGGGCAACTTTTGTTGGAATTTGGTCTTTAACAAAAGGGTGCTCAAGAAGTTGAGATGCTGTAGGCCGTGCAGAAGGATCTCGCTGCAAGCATAGCCTAACAAAACTTTTTGCTTCAGTTGACAGGTGATCAGGAATGTCAGGCATGTCTTTGCTATTTCCAATCTTAAATATTGCAGCAACCTGTTCATAGAAGATGGTCAAAGATATGCCGCAATGTATGTGTTTGGTGATCAGAATATATTCTGCAACATTTTTACCCCTTCATATTGACTCCAAGGTGGCATTGATGTGGCCATTTCAAGAACTGTACAGCCCAGGCTCCATATATCTACTGCAAGGCTGTAGCCATTTGTATTCATCACCAACTGAAAGTATGTAATTCAATGAGTCTGAAACATTAAATGCTTGTTTGGTTGGGATAATTTGAATGTGAAGGAGATATTTCTAATGATTCTGCAGTTTTACTGATTTTACCCTTATGTATTGGCGTTTATAAGAAGACACTCACTTTAGCCACTTCCCTTCCAACCTGCTAAAACTAATAAAAATAAACGTCACCCCTCCCGTACATAATTTCTTACCCAAACAATGGGTAAAGGAACTCTGCTTACAAAACTGAAGATCAAGGAACAAGAAAATTGGGAGCAGCGAAAGATACAAGAGAGAAAAAAGAGAGAAATACCTCAGGTGCCATCCAATACGGGCTTCCCTTGAAAGATAGCATTGAAGAATATGATGTAATCTGGTTGGAATCCAAGAAATTGTGAGAGTGATAGCAAGAAAATATATGCCAGTTTGAAGAAAGAGCTTTTTGAAGAACTTTTTTACCAAGTCAACTAATCTGTGTTAGATAGACAACTTTGAAATTTATCAGATTGACTTTTCAAAAAATCTAATCAGCACAGATTTTTCAAATGCAACGGTAAATATCAGCCCTGCCCCATAACATTATCTTTATTAGTTAAAGAATCCCTCAACAGCCAACTGCATTTTATTTATTCGCTTGCACCCATACCATTCTTCACAGATTCCTTTTGTTGTCCATGTGTATATTGACTGTGTTCTTTTAAATAGAATCTACTAACAACTCACTAATGCAACAATCAACTAAAAACTGTCCTCCATGTGGCTATTATTGTGTTACACTCTTTCAAAAAAATTAATAGTCAAATAACATATGAAGCAAAAATTATTCAACCCATCTATTTTCAATCATCATTTTCTCCTCTTATTTCTTATGGCATGTGTGCCTCTTGTGAATACGAATAGTTCGTCTTGTGAGCTACTCCGTAAATAGTCTCAAATAGTTAAAATTAGTCTGTTTATGGTTCACAAAGAGAATAGCTAGAAAAAATGCTTTTGGCGTGCATAAACAATGAAAATAATGCCATGTCTTCCTCGAGAGCTATTGGTTTTGAAATCCAAGAGTTAAATTCTGGAATTAGTTAAACCGCATTTTCACTAATTGCCATGAAATTGCAGAGTGGTAAATGATTTACCCAAAACATTTAGTTGATACATACATGCTTTGCCATGCCAAAATCGGCAAGCTTGATTTCACTATTGGGGTAAACTAATATATTTGCTCCTTTAATATCCCTGCAGGAAATCCTTGTATGTTACCAAGCTGCTATTTTAAAGAGAAGTAAATTGATAAGCGTTACTCTGAACATATGTATTACCTATGCACGGTGTTTCTTGCATGCAAGTAGGCCAGGCCAGATAGAATTTGCCTAGCATAATTTTGAATAACAGCCTCCTTAAACGATCCATAGTCTTGCAACAGTTTATGAATGGAACCCCCAGAAACATACTCCAAGTAAACTGAGAGCGTCTCTTCTCCCTAAGCAACAAATACAAAGAAATGTTATGTGACATGACAAACTTGGCAATCACACACCATTAATTTGAAAGAGCAAATTTCAACTCATGTGTAACAAATCCAGGTACCAGTTCACTCCCATAATACCGAACAATGTTTGGATGTGAAAATTGACTGAGCAAAGTGATTTCCTGACAGAAAAGAAAAAAGATAAATAGGGAGAAAAACAATTAAAAGTAAAGAACACAATAGAAGTTTCAAGGACAAAAAAACTTCAAGAAAACTAATGAATAAGCCAAACCCGGTTCAACTGCTTAAGGCACTCTTTGGATGTCCGGTCATCTGCAACAACTTTCACTTCTTTAATTGCGCAAATCTGCCCATTCTCACTGTAAATATTAGTTAATAAAGTATTCATTCTTGAATGGTTGTACTGCCATCAAGAAAGAATTTAAGATTGGCTAAAAGAGGCAAACCAAATGCATGGACATACCTGCTGAATCCAAGATAGACCGTGGAAATGTGCCTCTTCCCAGAAGCCTTCCTTTTTTCCATTTTGATAGATTAACAGTTGAGGCTTCAGCTATACCACAAATTCTAGGAATTGGCAAAGTAGAAGGCCTGGTAGGAGAAGCCGGTAGAAGATGATTAGGAGATCCGGGTGGAAGAGGCAACCGGTGGCCTTCACTCTTCCCTTCATCCAACCTTCCTGCTGGAGTATCCAAATTAACACCTCCAGACCGAGGATGTAGAGGTGAAGAACTGGTTGTAGGCACCCTTGAACGAACAGGGCTTTGTGAGACTGGACTATGCCGGCTATCACCAATTCCCCCTCTGTTGTTTAACAGGAAATAAAAATGTTTCTGCAATTAAGACTTACTCCACCTACTGAAAAATGACTTGCCCGACCTACCAAAGAATAAGAATAAAAATACCAGAAAACCACTTAAGCTAAGGGACTCATAAAACCAGATCTGAGTAAAGTGGCAGTGAATAAAGACTCTGGGGAAAAGAGTCTGGTTAACATTACATTCTCCCTAGTTCCGAAAAAAAAAGTGCCTATCAAGTTAAGAGTGAAACTGCAATAATCTATCTCTCTAACCAGGAAACCTAGGCAAAATTTTCTGAAAAAAAACGAATCTTTGCTGACAAGGGTGCAAAAACAGACCTGAAAGAGGAGAACTGAGAACGATCGATGCGGCTATGATCATCACATGAGCCAGAAGAGCTAACACTAGATCCTGAATCAGAGCCAGATGCAAATCATACCCCGTGATCATTTCCAACAGAAGAAGGGGACACAGACGGCTCCGGCAGCGGATGTCCTCTTGGTGGATTTTTTCCCCCACCAAGCAGGCATTTCGCATGAACTACCTGCGAGCACGAAGAGGGGAGCAAGGATTTAGGAATTTGGTTCTTCTGCAGAAATGGAGAGGGGAAGTAGGAGAAACAAGAAAAAAAAGGAGAGATAGAGATAGAAAATTAAATGGAGCTTGGAGCCTTGTAGAGTAGGAGACCTGGATTTAGGGGAATGGGATTTGGGTCCCACTCCCACAAATGCCAAAACTCATCCATGAAGGTTACTCGTCCCTTTCGAATTTGGGTTCCACCAGTTAGACAAACAATTGAGAGAATAGTGATGATTTCCCTTTTGGGTTCAAAGCTTCAAACTCACCGACGAGTTTGGAAAAGGAGTGCGAGGAGAGGAGGAAGCTTAATTGAGAGGATAAAGGAGTGTAAATTTACAATTTTATCCACGTTTTTGACGGAAATGTTAACAAAGAACCATTCGTGGAAATGGATATAATTGGGGACTAAATTAGTAATATTTGATATGTAGGAACTAAATATGTAAAACGACTTATAATTGAGGACCTTTAATCGATTTTACTTATTTCTTTTTTATTTTAACTTGGCACAAAGGTTAAAAAAATTTAAAATGTAAAAATTTTATGTTTGTCTTTGATGTGTAATAATAAACTAAATAGTATAGATAAAAAGTTAGGGTGTAATGATAAAGTTCTTTTTTTAAGGCGATGATAAAGTTCTTGACTGAAATAGGAAATAGGAAAAAAATTTGGACAACCCAAAAAAAGTGGAAAAGTAATAAATGGATGGAGGGAATATTAAATTTTATAAATTTTAGTCATTAACAATATTATAAAAAATAACCTGAAATAAGGGTAAAACCTAAAATTCATCTTTAAAATAAAAGTTCTATGTTTTTTTAAAATAAAGGTTTGTATTGTGACATTATGACACTGCACAGAGGCATTCGACTATATTTTTGCTATTAAATATTGCTGTTATTGACCTTATACTTCTATTTTGGAGATAAAAAAAACTTGATCAAACTCTTATTTTGATACTTTCTTCACGTTTTATTTGTAGTTTATTCTTTTTTCCTATATTATGTTAATATTATATTAAATCCATACTCGTGCATTGCATGGGAAAAATATCTTTCAATATTTTAAATTGACTTAGGCTACGATCCATTCACCTGATCTGATCTAATTTAATCTGATTTTTTGAAGATCTAATCTGATTTGATTAAATCTGATCTGATCTGGCTATAATAAAAACAAGTAATTAGCAGGAAAAAAAGTTGCACGAAACCTGCCTTAAATGTTGAGTCATAATCTGCACAATTTTTTATTACTCCGTAAATGTTTTACAATATCACGGTGTCATACCATAGTTCAGGTTTCTAAACTATTTGGATTTATATCTTTTCTAGATTTCTAAACTTTTCGTGTGCAAAAATAATGTGCAATACACTAATACACATTTAGATTTTTTTAAATTGACATTATAATATATTCGTACCTAAAAATCTTATTTTGGCTTTACAAAACTTAAAAAGTAAAAATGTGTTGATTTAATTTATATTAAGAGAGTTAATTGGCCACATCCATTTCTATTAACAAAAATAAAAGATATAACAAAAATAAAAGATATTTTGTAAAAGTTTATCATGGAGTATGAGACATAAATGAAAATGAAAAGCAAAAATTTCATTTACAAAGGGAGGAAGTNCATGATTCCACTGATTTGTTTAAGGATTTGAGGATCAGGTGTAGTACTAGGGGATACAACATCCTCCCCTTCTTCAGAAGAGTTTGACCTCAAACTCGGAATTTCTTCAGGATCAAAATATGGACTGAGATCTTTCACGTTAAATGTAGCCGAGACTCCATAATCTCCCGGAAGGTTGATCTTGTAAGCATTCTCATTGATTTTCTCTACCACTTCGAACGGACCATCAGTTCTTGGCATTAACTTGGACTTGCGTTTTGTTGGAAAACGTTCTTTTCTGAGATGAATCCATACTAAATCTCCAGGCTGGAAACTCGTGAGCCTTCTTCCTTTGTTGATGCTCAAGTGGGGTGAGGGGGTTCGAGCCATACACAACCATAAACGGGGATACTCCAGTTGTTTTGTTTGGGGTCCTGTTGTAAGCGAACTCAGCATGCGGTAAAAGCTCTTCCCATTGCTTGATGTTTTTCTTGATTAGTACCCGAAGAAGGGTTCCAAGCGTCCGGTTTATAACTTCCGTTTGACCATCTGTTTGTGGGTGGCTTGATGTGCTGAACTTGAGTTTCGTGCCTAGCTTCCGCCAAAGGGTCATCCAAAAATGACTTAAGAACTTCGGATCCCGATCAGAGACCATGCTTCGGGGAACGCCATGTAGTTTAACTATCTCTCTGAAATAGAGATCAGCCACTTGAGACGCGTCGTAGGAGGTGACACACGGAATGAAGTGAGCCATCTTTGAGAATCTGTCCACTACCACCATGATTGAGTCTTTTCCTTTTTGAGTTCGGGGCAGCCCGGTAATGAAGTCCAAGCTAATGTCTTCCCATGGAGCATAAGGGACGGGCAGTGGTAAGTGTGCTCCTTGTGGCAAAGCATGAGCTTTCGCAAGGTGGCAGGTGTGGCATCTCTTGATAAAGTGTTCAATGTCTCTTTCCATTTTTGGCCAAAAATAATGTTCCTTCATCATCAAGTAGGTTTTGTTGATTCCAAAATGACCAGCTAGGCCGCCTCCATGGATTTCTTCTATGAGGGTCTCACGTACGCTCCTCTTCGGAATGCACAGTTGATTTCCATGGAAAAGATAACCGTCCTTGATGAGGTAGTCTCCATAGGGCCGAGAGAGGCATTGGGCATACACATCCTTGAAATCTTCATCTTCTTTGTATAGTTCCTGCAAAATTTCAAAACCAAGAATTTTGGTACTAAGTACCGTTAGTAAAAAATGCCTTCTTGACAAGGCGTCAGCTCCTTTGTTCATGACTCCATTCTTGTGTTTGATTGTGAATGTGAAGGTCTGAATGTACTCGACCCATTTAGCATGGCGGGGTCGAAGTTTATGTTGCCCTTGAATGTACTTCAATGCCTCATGATCAGAATGCAGAATAAACTCCTTTCCCACGAGGTAGTGTCTCCAATGTTCGAGAGAGCGAACTAGCGCGTAAAACTCCTTGTCATATGTGGAGTAGCGCCTCCTGGTCTCATTTAACTTTTCACTGAAGTATGAAACTGGATGTCC